TTACGTAAGCGGTCCGCGCAGGCATCTCGATCCGGAATTCCAAGTCCCCCAAGAGCATCGTTGCACCGTCCCGAAGAAAAGTATCTCTCCACCGCCACCCTTTCGACCTCCTCCTCCTCCTCCTCCTCCTCCTCTTTCTCCTCCTCGTACGTCGGCCCGTGCGGAAAAAAGGCGCGAAGAAAAAGTTGAATCGCGGGATACGTGGAGGCGAGCGGAGCGTGTAACGAGTTTCGAAACCCCGGGCAAAAAGGGAGGAGAGGGGGGGGGGGGGAAGGCACTTTATTGCTCCCGATAGAAATGTATCGAAACGTCGGTAAGCCGCCGCTATTTGCCAACCTCTCTTCCCTTACTTACTCGTTGGCCTAGGCTGTCCCATCTCTCTCTCTCAATCGAAACTGAATTGCACCGTTCGACAAACTTTTGGAGATGGCGGATTTTTTTCGAGATCGATTGAAGTTTTGGGGCCGATAGAGAATTGTTGATTTGAAATTTTATTTTTTGAGTGATTATTTAAGTTAAGTTTATTCATATACATCACTGGAGATGGGTTTAAGATTGGATTTAAGTGTAATCTGATTTTGGAATTACGTTTGGGAACTCAGGAATAATAAAATGTTCAAAGTGAAAATTTTGAGACTTGCACTCGTCGAGAATATATCAACCTAACCTGCAAAAGCTTGATCAAGTGGAAACTTGTGTACAATTCCCAAGAATAAATTCTCGTCATTTTTCACGAATACGATATTCACGAGTAATAACTATCTTTAATATATTCTTTATTCTTGGACAATTTTCTTTCGTTCGAAAACGACCGAGTTTCCGCAAAGAGAACGCATGGATTCCTTCCAAAGAAAAGAGTCGAAGAGGGGAGAGGGGGGAGGAACAAAGGGTTCGCGATGAGAGAGTAACGTTCGAGAACGACTCCGTCGTAAATATGGTAATCCCAAAGTATCAGCGCTACCCGGTGGGTCGGGGACGATAACGACCATTATGCGAATGCTCGACGAAAAGAGAATTAGGGGAATCATTTGTTAGGCGAGCTGTCCGTCGCAGCTGATATAATCCCCGGATGTCGTCGGCGCCGAAAGACACTCCCCGCTAACCTACACCCGCGACACACAGCGTCTAAACGACTTAGAATATCTATCCTGTAAACCTGTTCCACCGGTACCTGGATCCAACGATCGAAAAGAAGATTTGTGTCTTTTGGTCGAGTTCTAGTTTTTTTTTTTTTTTTCTTTTTTACGAAACGAAAAAATGTATTTCGAATATCTGGAAACGCGTCTAATAGATCTAATGGATCTTAGGTAGATAGGAAATGGATAGATCTCAAGTGTATAGTCGAGGTGTCAGTAGTTAGTGGCCACGTGGCGCTAGTGTCGCCACAGCGCAATAGACAATTAGTTAGAATATTAACCCTTTATATATTTCTCTAACGTTCAGAATCTTCTTTGAATCCGCTTTTCCAATGCTCTTGCTCAAAAAACACTTGCTTTAAAACCGTATATTATTATACTAATAATATATATAGTAGTAATATAGTAGTAATATAGTTTTTTCCTTTTTTTACGAAACGAAAAAATATATTTCGAATATTTGGAAAGTGCCTAATAGATGGATCTTAGATAGATAGGAAAATCTAATGGATAGATTTCAGGTGGATAGAAAGTATAATAATATATATAGTAGTAATATAGTAAGTTCTAGTTTTTTTCCTTTTTTTACGAAAAAATGTATTTCGAATATTTGAAAAGTATTTAATAGATCTAATGGATTTTAAGTAGATAGAAAAGTCTAATGTATAGTCGAGGCGTCAGTAGTTAGTGGCCACGTGGCGCTAGTGTCGCGCCACAGCGCAATAGACAATTAGTTAGAAATATTAACTTTATATATTCCTCTAACGTTCAGAATCTTCTTTGAATCCGCTTTTCCAATGCTCTTGCTCAAAAAACACTTGCTTTAAAACTGTATATTACTATAGTAATAATATATATAGTAATAATATAGTAGTAATATAGTAAGTTTTAGTTTTTTTCCTTTTTTTTACGAAAAAATGTATTTCGAATATTTGAAAAGTATTTAATAGATCTAATGGATGTAGGATTAGGTAAATAGAAAAGTCTAATGGATAGATCTCAGATGTATAGTCAAGGCGTCAGTAGTTAGTGGCCACGTGGCGCTAGTATCGCATCATAGTAGATAATTAGTTAGAAATATTAATTTATATTCCTCTAACGTTTAAAATCTTCTTGGAATCCGCTTCTCCAACGTTTTTATAAAACTTGCTCAAAAAACACTTGCTTTAAAACCATATATATACATTACTATATTTACTATAATAATAATATATATATATTAATAATATAGTAATAATTTACAAGTAGTAACTCAAACGTGAAATAGTTCCTTCCTCCTTAAACACATCCCAATAACCGACCACAAATCGAAAGAAACGAATTTTCTCACGAGTGATCGACACATCGATCTCTCGAACGATCGAACGATTACGGATCCTGGATCGCAAGGAGAGGTGTCCATATATCTGTCACCCGGTTCGTTGACGTCGTCATTCGCCAGCTGGTATTGCATCTTCCTCCCAATGGAAAGACGGAT